CATCTTTGGTTAATACATATTTTGCCTTTGCAATGAGTGCTACTACTGGTCACGGCATTGCATCGTTTGCACTGAATATCTTGAGTTGCGTAAATACACTCGTTACATTTAAAATCCTTGGAAGCTTTGTGTGTGTTAATATGTGCTTGCTTAAACTGCATATGCGAATAGTTGCAGAATATCACTGGTCACATTTTAAGATGTTTTAACAATCAATTTTACTTTTTCTTGAGTTCCAATTCTGAAAAATAATTTGATTGCGTTATAAGTTCTTGTTTATATATTTACGTAAAACTTAGTGTACGTCTGTCTCCGATTAATCGCACTAAATACTCTCAACCAACGGTTTAATTGATTTTACAGCAGATGACAGTTAATCATGACATGACGTTCGTTGACTTCAATAAGTACTACCAACCGAAGAACGCGCATAACCCCTTCTTTCCATTCAATGAGTACAAAAAAGATTTATTATTCAATGATAGTACCTTGGATAGTACACAGTGAACTCAGTCATTTCAAAGAGAATACAGCTTCATAAAACATTGCCTATTCGACTATTTCGTACTTTTTTTCGAAAATTCAAAAAGTAACACATTAGATTTCACTTATATTTAAACGTATATGCTTTGTTTAAACATAATAAAAGTCGCGCAGAATGTTGCAAACGTTACAATAGATTAATTAATATTATGAATTCTTCTTTATTGACTTCTGACATTTTAATATAGTTTCTCAAATCCCCCTTGATTAATCAGATAAATTGTCAGCAATGCTCTAAAATCGAGTCTAAAATATGTACGATGTGAAAATCAAAAGAAAAGTGACCAGATGCTGCGCCGCTTGTTTGGGACCCAATTTTTGTCATAATCTCTTCTACTGTAACTTCTGACATTGTTCACATACTTTGTTCTATACCAGGGGAGTAGCCAGGGGGGGCTATTGGGGCTATAGCCCCACCCGGACATGTCATATTTGTGTACAATTAAATCAATTTTTGCGAAATGGAACTGAATCGTACGTAGGTAGCTGATTTTTTATCACCGCCTTCGACAACGTACGCACATCCGCCCCTCCCAAACCAAGTTCCTGGCTACGCCACTGATCTATACGCAAAATTTGTCGGTATTATTAGCAACTCTTCTGAAAATTTCTTTTACTGCATCTTCTCAAGGTCCTGGATATCTATGTAAATTTTCAGCCGTGTCCGTGCACGTCGACAGGTTTTTTAGTTGAAAAATTTGCACCTCGATTTGCACGTTTGATCGTCGGCCAACGCCCTTAGCTTCCCAATGCGTCTTCTGATATTCAGACTTTCGCTTTGCGGGCAGCAAACGAATCTTTTCCAGGTAGAATATATCATGCACCGAGGCATGTCACACCCCATCGAATCGGTGTTTGTCTCTGTATCATTTAAATGAACAAGTTGAAATGTATACGGCACATTCCTCCATAAATGAAGTAGCGCATACAAGTGTAATTAGGTGCGTCCCACCCGAGGTCCCACCATAAGGTCTGTAAGTCTCACAAACATAAATAAAGTTCAGCTACTTAATTAGAAACTTATAGTTCTGGTGCCAGTGAAAGGTTTACTACTTCTAATTGTAAAATTCGAGTTCTACTAGCAAAAAGGAGATCATAGTTTCACTAGTTAACTGACGGTTGGTCGTTTGTGCGTATTTTACAAACCTTCCCCTTTTCGGCATTAGATTTCTGAATTGCTCAGTTCGAAGTCTTGACTGATCTGCCACATAAAAAATGCGCTAACCTGTGCCATCGCAAACGTTGAAAGATTTGTTTCCTAATCTTCAGGATATTTTATTTATTTATTTATTATCCCTCTCTTGTCCTGGGCCCTCAATAGGCTTGCGCCCAATTACAGAGTGATCCGCATAATGCTTTTTAGAGGTGGCTCTGCAGAAGGTCTTAAGTTGATGAAAACGTGTTACGATTGTAAATCTAAACGATCGACCAAAAGAAAATTGCAGACATAACAACCTCTGATACATATGTATTGTATTAGACACCAACGCACGCTCAGAGCAAGAAATAAAGATAGAGGACGCATACGCTATAATAACGCGAACGTTTGTTTTGCACCACCAAAGTTGAGGCGACCAAAGGTACACAGTAGTAACTGCACTAATTTCACAAACGGTATACACTCTTTCCCCATTTCAAAGGGTTCGGATAAATGATTAAACACAATTGAATAAGTTTTAAACAGAGAGTTGCTATAACAATAAGTACTAACTTGGCACTAATTATTGCCATAAGAAATACATTGTAAACTTCGAGGCAAAAATTAAAGGTTGATTCCCAAATGAAATACTAAGTGTTTATTATCGCTGATTATGTAATTTTTATCTCTATCGAATAACATAAAACTCTAATATGGCGTCCATAAGAAATAATAAAATTGATGTGATTTACTCGAAACTCACAAGTGATAAAAATTTTCTTTTCCAGAAAGCTGAGAAAAAATTACTAAGGGTTGTTAAAACAATTTTTCTATTTCGATGTGGAAACAATACCGAAACCGTACTTGATTGGCCCAGTTTGCGTGCGTTTCTAGACAGAAATGATGCTGAAAGAAATAGTAACGTATTATTTTTTTTATTTTGTTGGATTGGTACCCCTCGTTTTTTTGCCGTCAACGGTATCCGCCAAATCAAAACTAAACATAACCTGTAAAGTGTAAATAACGTATGAGGAACTTGGCCGATTGCATTAATCCGATTAATTTTGAATATATACTCCAAAGGGTAGAACTTTTTTTATTTTTACTTAGGGTAGTAAAATATGCCAGCAGTACATTCTTGCTTACTTTTTGAACTCCCTTCTCGGCCAGCCAGTTTTCAAAAATTTTGTACTCGGTACTCCTCGTACTTTACTTTCGATTTTACAGGCAGTAAATTTAACGTCACTTCATTGGCAATCTCTTGGATCTCTGGTGGGGTACAAGAGCAATATTTATAATTTGTATCATTTATTATTTAAAATAAAAGTCGAAATAGAAAAAATAGTATAAAGCGCACGTGTCATTTGTCTACTTGTCGCACTCGGCTTTTGCCGCATTCGCCGCTACGCGGCTTATGCGGCAAACTACCTCGTGCGAAAATCTTCGTCAAAT